CTCTGGAACCCAACTCCTTGAGAGAGGTTGGACGCTCCAGTTTCCCCACGGGAAACACCAGAAAACACCAGAAAGATCTCATTGCCCCCCATCTCGGCCGCCACGTGTTGGAGTTCTCCCCAGTTCTCCTCTGGGTGGGGGACAAGTCCCTCACTGTTGTGACGGCCTACGGGCCTAACGGCAGTGCAGAGTACCCGGCCTTCTTGGAGTCCTTGGGAGGTGTACTGGACAGTGCACCGCCCGGAGACTCCGTTATTCTCCTGGGGGACTTCAACGCCCATGTGGGAAATGCCAGTGACACTTGGAGAGGGGTGATTGGCAAGAACGCGCCCCCTGATCTGAACTCGAGCGGTGTTCAGTTGTTGTTTGTCCATCACGAACACCATGTTCGAGCACAAGGGTGTCCACCAGTGCACGTGGCACCAGGACACCCTAGGCCGGAGGTCGATGATCGACTTTGTTGTCGTATCATCTGACCTTCAACCGCGTGTCTCGGACACTTGGGTGAAGAGATGGGCGGAGCTGTCAACCGATCACCACCTGGTCGTGAATTGGATCCGCTGGCAGGGGAGGAAGCCGGTCAGACCCGGCAGACCCAAGCGTGTGGTAAGGGTCTGCTGGGAACGTCTCGCTGAGCCCCCTGTCAGACGGACTTTCAACTCACACCTCCGGGAGAGCTTCTTCCAGGTCCCGGCGGAGGAGGGGGACATTGAGTCCGAGTGGACCATGTTCTCTTCCTCTATCGGGAGGTGGAAGGAATACTTCGAGGTTCTCCTCAATCCCCCCGTCACGTCCTCCGTCCCGAAGGCAGAGGCTGAGGATGTTGGGGCGGATACTTCTATCTCCCTGGCAGAGGTAAGTAAGTAAGTAAGTAAGCTTTATTTATATACCGCCTTTCACAGACCAGAGTCACAAAGCGGTTTACAATTGTTATTTTTTGGGCACTTGTCCTCTCGCTCCACACAGAGATGGGAGCGGGGTCGCCGAACAGGAGGCGCATGCCAGACCTATTGTACATAGGTCACCAAGGTGGTTCGCAGCCTCCATGGTGGCAAGGCGCTGGGAGTGGATGAGATCCGTACTGACTATCTAAAGTCTCTGGATGTCAATGGAGTGGCAGACCGGGGTGGTGGTCCCTCTCTACAAGAAGGGGGACCGGAGGGTGTGTTCCAATTATCGTGGGATCACACTCCTCAGCCTCCCCGGTAAGGTCTACTCCAAGGTACTGGAGAGGAGGCTACGGCCGATGGTCGAATCTCGGATTCAGGAGTAGCAGTGTGGTTTTCGTCCCGGTCGCGGAACACTGGACCAGCTCTATTCTACCATCGGATACTCGAGGGTTCATGGGAGTTTGCCCAACCTGTCCACATGTGCTTTGTGGATTTGGAGAAGGCGTTCGACCGTGTTCCCCGGGGTGTCCTTTGGGGGGTTCTCCGGGAGTACGGGGTCCGGGATAATATGCTGAGGGCCGTCCGGTCCCTGTATGACCGGAGCCAGAGCTGTGTTCTCATTGCCGGCAGTAAGTCAGACCTATTCCCGGTTGTTGCATGTTGGCCTCCGCCAGGGCTGCCCTTTGTCACCGGTTCTGTTCACTGTGTTTATGGACAGAATTTCTAGGCGCAGCCAGGGGCCGGAGGGGGTCCGGTTCGGGGACCTAAGAATTTCATCCCTGCTTTTTGCGGATTATGTTGTCCTGTTGGCTCCAACGAACCAGGACCTGCAACATGCACTGGGACGGTTTGCAGCCGAGTGTGAAGCGGCTGGGATGAGAATCAGCACCTCCAAATCCGAGGCCATGATGCTCGACCGGAAAAAGGTGCCTTGCCCTCTCCAGGTGGGTGGGGAAGTCCTTCCTCAAGTGGAGGAGTTCAAGTATCTCAGGGTCTTGTTCACGAGTGAGGGACGGATGGAGCGTGAGATTGACAGGCGGATCGGTGCAGCGTGCGCAGTGATGCGGTCGCTGTATCGGACCGTTGTGGTAAAGAGGGAGCTGAGCCGAAAGGCAAAGCTCAGGATTTACCGGTCAATCTTCGTTCCCTCCCTCACCTATGGTCATGAGCTTTGGGTAATGACCGAAAGAACGGGATCGCGGATACAACCGGTCGAAATGAGCTTCCTCCGCAGAGTGGCTGGGCGCTCCCTTAGAGATAGGGTGAGGAGCTCAGTCACACGGGAGGAGCTCGGAGTAGAGCCGCTGCTTCTCCACGTTGAGACGAACCAGTTGAGGTGGCTCGGGCACGTCCCACCGGGAGGAGGCCCCGGGGAAGACCCAGGACACGCTGGAGGGACAATGTCTCTCAGCTGGCCTGGGAACGCCTTGGGGTCCCCCCGGACGAGCTGGAGGAAGTGTGTGCGGATAGGGAAGTGATAATGCTGTTTCAACTACAATTGAACCTGATGAAATCTCACACAACAAAGAGACAAAGTTCATCATTTACTTGTTACATTGTACAAGGAGAATGTCTTGACAGAGGCAAGGCACAGACCCTAGCCTCTCTCAGGACAAGTCTGAAGATTCACAGTCTGCAAGCCCCTTTTGGTAGAACAAGACACACCTTCGTATGCAGATGGGAAAGGAAGAAACCAACACAACAAAAGACACTTAGCATATGAGCTCCCCAGACCTCCCGGTGTCTTCCTGAAGCTAAAGTGAATTACAATACAGAGCATTCAGCACATCGCCACATATGATTTACCAAAATGATAACTTAAGTTACATTCCAATATCATTCCCTCCTTTTTATCCTTTTGATAAATCAAACAATCTATGTTTAAACATGGAGAACATGGAAAACTGAAAATGAAAAAACCCACATCCAAACTGAAAAAGTAAAAATGTTCATAGTATAATTTCACATTGTTGTTCCATAAACTATTCCCCCTATTGAGACATACATGGCTCAAAACTGAACAATGTATTAACTTGAAATGTATTAACTTTGGTTATCAAATTCAACACCACGCACACACCCAAAAGCGCGAAAACCCAAAGTCCATTTTCACAGTCCATAGACAGTCCATTTGACACTTCCTCTCGACCCCTCCTCATGTTTGGTTATGACCAGAAATGTCCACTCTGTTCCTGTTTCGAAACTCTTCTCTGTCTGCGTTTCCGACGCCAAACAGCAGCAAGCCATTCTCCAACAACGACACAAAGCTGAACTTTCAAGTCGCAAATGTACCAAGATGTCACCTTCAATTCTCACGTCCATTTAACTTGAACAAACGGCCAGCGCCCTCCATGGGCCTGCGCGCTTTGATCCTTGCAAATCAGCCCGTGATTATTCGTCAGCAGCTTCCGGTGCGGGGGGGGGGGGGGGTTTGTGTGGAGGGTCGTTTCGTAGGTGTCAATGGCTGTATGGAGATGGCGATGGGGTGGGTTTTCTGTCCCACAATGGAAAATAGGTGGATTTTGTTGCTTTGAAGCTTTGGCAGGGATGTGGCATTTTTCTCAAAAACAAGAAGCACATTTGTTAATACATTTCAGAATCAAAACATAAGGTGAAGGGTAATTCTAAACCAAGAAAACTTTGACAAAGGAAAACGAAGAGGACACACAGAACAAAGGACACAGACAGACAAAGAAACACATGGCCAGAGGACAAAAGTACCACATGGCCACCCAAAATGGCGGTCTATCTACTTTTTGCAATGTCCAATTCCAAATTTTGAGTAATTAGAGGTCTTTAAACATCCAATTTCAATTTAGTGTATTGAGATATCTTTAAATGTCCAATTTCAGTTTAGAAGTAATGTAGAAGTTCAGTCCGAAGTAATTCAATTCTAACACATTCATCATACAGGCGTAACTCTGCGTTACCCTTTTGAATGAAACCCCGTTCATTCGAGCTCTGTAAAAGTCCTTGACTAAAGGCATAACTCTGCGTTATCCTAAATGAACGCCCCATTCATCGAGCTCCACACTACTCTCTTGAATTAGTCCCGGACATAATTCGTAGTGTAATAAAGTCCCAGACTCAAGCATAATTTCTGCGTTTTCCTAAATGAATGTGTTCATGTGAACTTCAAACTACTTCCTGGATTACTTTTGGACATAATTTAGAGTGTACAGAACTTTCCTTTGTTGCGATTTCATCAGGAAAAAACTGTAGTTCTCCCGTTGACTCCAACCCAGGGCTGTCCTGCCTCAAACCTGGAGTTCCAATGCAGTTCCGAGTGCAGAAGGCCTTGTAGTTGCTCCTTGAAGTCTATGTTTGAGACAAGCTCAGCTCCTGTAAGAAGTGTTGGGATCCGGCTCGAAGGACCAAGTGATAATGCTGTTTCAACTACAGTTGAACCTGATGAAATCTCACACAACAAAGAGACAAAGTTAATCTTTTACTTGTTACATTGTACAAGGAGAATGTCTTGACAGAGGCAAGGCACAGACCCTAGCCTCTCTCAGGACAAGTCTGAAGATTCACAGTCTGCAAGCCCTTTTTGGTAGAACAAGCCACACCTTCGTATGCAGACGGGAAAGGAAGAAACCAACACAACAAAAGACACTTAGCATATGAGCTCCCCAGACCTCCCGGTGTCTTCCTGAAGCTAAAGTGAATTACAATACAGAGCATTCAGCACATAGCCACATACGATTTACCAAAATGATAACTTAAGTTACATTCCAATATCAGGAAGTCTGGGTGTCTCTGCTTAGACTGCTGCCCCCGCGACCCGGCAACGGATGAAGCGGAAGAAAATGGATGGATGGATGGTGTATATACCTCTGGTTTCAGCTTCACATTTACATAACTATTTATACATTTACTGGGTTTAAATACCAGTTAGAATAGTGTCTTTTGTCTATGTAGGTTTCCTCCAGGCACTTCGGTTTTCCCCTACCAATAAAACCATGTTCAATATGAGTCCTTCCGCTCCAGTCCTGATCAAGCCGAGCATCAACACCTGGAGATGGGTGGTATGCAGGATGGGTCAAATGCAGAGGACAAACTTCCCAAACCTTAAACTTCCCCTTAATATTTGCCTTTTGTGATTTCCAGTGTTCCACGTCTCTGGTATTATGAGGAAACCAAATGCATTCATATGGGTAAGAATATTTGTGAGCAATGATTAATACAGATCACTACAACGCATTTGGCTACAGGAAATCCTTAAGGCCATTTACCTCAGTAACCCTAATACTCCAGGTATAATAGTGATAACATGTCTCTTCCTCAAGGGTTGTATTTATGGTGTTTTCCAGCAGACAAGCCACTCCAGAAACACATCGATGGAGGATTCAGAGGCTTGGAGAAGATACAACTTTGCGGTGCCCTGGAGACCTGAGGTGAGAATATGTGCCTGTGCACACATGGCTAATATATAATGACTAGTCTGCAGACACTCAGGGATGAGGTGTGATGGGGACTTGATATTGTGCATCACATTACGTCTTCCGTTGTGACGGGCGTTTTGACACACTTCTCTCCTGCACTTTCGCATTCTCCGCTTGTGTTAAACCTTTCATATAAGCCCCGGACCGTGGTCGGGGGGCGCAGGGGGGTGTGTCGTCCAGGGCAAAGCGAAACATTTCCTATGGGAATAACTCCCTTTGTTCTGACCCTGATGATTGCAATAATACTTCAGACATTCAAGGATCAGCCATTATTTAACCCATTTGGCCCAACCGAGGTTTATCATTGTCATTTTGGACTCACAGAAAAAAAATCGAAAGTATTAATGCAGATTTTTCCACTTACATGCGAGTAAACAACTTAGACAAAGTTATAGTTTTAAAAAAAAAACATGTTTTCCAGTCTCTTCTGAGTGAAAACATGGATGACGCAAATCATCCCAGAAAGAGGTCATTTTCATGAATTTTGAATCATTTTTCCCCCAAACATAGAAATAATTATATGATCATTCAAGTCTCCAGAATAACCATCCCTCAAAACATTGGGCCTAATTCACGAATATCTTCTTAAGAATCTTCTTAAATTTCTTCTCAAGTCGTTCTTGATTAGATTTCTATGAAGACCCTTCGTGGCATTCATCAACACGCTCGTAAACCGCTGAATTGTTCGCAGCTGTTCTCGCGTGCCAGGTGATTCATTAGCATAGGTACTTAGCATAGGTAACTGCCCATTATTGCCCATACCTTTTATGGGCAATAATGCAGGGCCGTGTGCAGACATCAGAGGAAACGGCAACATGCCTAAAGCACGGAGCAAAAGAGTCACCCTTTTTTCTTCTTTTGTCCGACTGAGAATAAAGTCAAACTAGCAAAATTATGAGATTAATCTATAAATATCATGAGATTAATCTCAAAATACAGTGGGGCAAAAAAGTATTTAGTCAGCCACCGATTGTGCAAGTTCTCCCACTTAAAATAATGACAGAGGTCTGTAATTTTCATCATAGGTACACTTCAACTGTGAGAGACAGAATGTGAAAAAGTCCAGGAATTCACATTGTAGGATTTTTAAAGAATTTATTTGTAAATCATGGTGGAAACAAGGAGGATCTCTGGCTATCACAGACCTGTAACTTCTTCTTTAAGAAGCTCTGTCCTCCACTCGTTATCTGTAATATAAAAGACACCTGTCCACAGCCTCAAACAGTCAGACTCCAAACTCCACTATGGCCAAGACCAAAGAGCTCTAGACTGACACCAGGAAAATAATTGTAGACCTGCACCAGACTGGGAAGAGTGAATCTACAATAGGCAAGCAGCTTGGTGTGAACAAATCAACTGTGGGAGCAATTATCAGAAAATGGAAGACGTACAAGACCACTGATAATCTCCCTCGATCTGCGGCTCCACGCAAGAACTGATCCCGTTGGGTCAAAATGATCATGAGAACGGTAATCAAAAATCCCAGAACCACACGGGGGGACCTGGTGAATGACCTGCAGAGAGCTGGGACCAAAGTAACAAAGGGGACCATAAGTAACATACTACGACGACAGGGAATCAAATCCTGCAGTGCCAGACGTGTCCCCCTGCTGAAGCCAGTGCATGTCCAGGCCCGTCTGAAGTTTGCCATAGAGCACATGGATGATACAGCAGAGGATTGGGAGAATGTCATGGTGGCAGATGAAACCAAAGTAGAACTGTTTGGTATAAACTCAACTCGTCGTGTTTGGAGGAAGATTACTGAGTTGCATCCCAAGAACACCATACCTACTGTGAAGCATGGGGTTGGAAACGTCATGCTTTGGGGCTGTTTTTCTGCTAAGGGGACAGGACGACTGATCTGTGTTAAGGAAAGAATGAATGGGGCCATGTATCGTGAGATTTTGAGCCAAAACCTCCTTCCATCAGTGAGAGCTTTGAAGATGAAACGTGGCTGGGTCTTCCAGCATGACAATGATCCTAAACACAACGCCCGAGCAACGAAGGAGTGGCTCCGTCAGAAGCATTTGAAAGTCCTGGAGTGGCCTAGCCAGTCTCCAGACCGCAACCCCATTGAAAATCTGTGAAGGGAGTTGAAAGTCTGTGTTGCTCTGCGACAGCCCCAAAACATCACTGCTCTTGAGAAGATCTGCATGGAGGAATGGGCCAAAATACCAGCTACTGTGTGTGCAAACCTGGTAAAGACCTATAGTAATCGTTTGACCTCTGTTATTGCCAACAAAGGTTATATTACAAAGTATTGAGTTGAATTTTTGTTATTGACCAAATACCTATTTTCCACCATAATTTACAAATAAATTATTTTTTCACATTCTGTCTTTCACAGTTGAAGTGTACCTATGATGAAAATTACAGACCTCTGTCATTATTTTAAGTGGGAGAAATTGTTGAGACCAATGCAGACCCAAGGAGAGACATAGACTGGAGAGACCATAGACTGCAGAAACCATAGACTGGACCCGTAATAGATCCACGGGAGAGACTAGCGCGGACCCGTAATAGATCCATGGGAGAGACTCAGCGCGGACCCCGCAACCTCCTGCAGCAGCAGTATATGCCATTGTTTTGTGGCCCGTGGATAAAGAAATGTCCCTAATAAATAGGATGGGGTCGCTTATAGACATTTCCAATGTATTTGATAAAGCATTGGCATATTTAATTTCAAAATGAATAAAAAAATAGGCTAAATTACCATAAACAATTAAATAAATAAATACATACGTCAATATGACGGACATATCACTGTAATGTTGTGTTTTATTGAACTTCACAACACCAGAGTGCAAACATGTCGGCACTGAATGTGAAAAAAAAAAGTGAACATTTCATGAAGGCCACAATCTTTGTAAAATCCTCGTAAGTAGGATTTACGCACAAATTAGTTCTTAAGAACGGTTCGTGAATGAGGCCCATTGTACCTGGGATTAAAAAAAAAAGTGTTATGGGCATGTTTCTGTGCGCGGCAACTTTAGTTGCCTGTGGGCACATATGATGTGACTAAAGGAAAGGAAAACAATGCCGAGTATACCTAATAACAGTGTCTCATAATTTACTTATTTTTAATTGTAGAATGGTGTACAATGGCTAATTTTAGACCTCAGATTACTCTTCACATCTAAATAAAATATTCATGGGTATTCAAAGCCTATGTCTGTAGGATTTTGATATAGCAGTAGCTCAGACCCTCCTCCAGCGTCATGGAGTAAGACACGGGTGTCCAAACGTTTTTGTAAGAGGCCCACACAATGATAAAACAAATGTAAGTAAATAACAATGGAGTCAACGACTGGATTCCAGAGTATGACTGTGCATGACTGTGTTGGTGGAGCTGAAGTTGGTTGGATGACACTGTCAAAGTGCCTCAATGACGACTTTGTGTTAGCAGCAGAGGGCGACATAAAGTGGCCCAGAGGGCCGCAATTGGCCCGGGGGCCTGAGTTTGGACATGCCTGGAGTAAGAGGAAGCGGGCATGGTTGATGCCAGCAGGTTTGACAACCTCAACCACTGGCCTGCAACAGCGGTAGCAAGTACAAGCGATGTAAGTTCTGTGAGAAATGTGTTGTGCCGCTACATGTGGAGTGGTTCAAGTATCATACCGCGTGGGTGTGTGTATAAGGCAGAATACATTTATATAACATGGACAACATCTGTATACTTTCTTGAAATTACCCTTGGCATCAGTCCTTGTTACTTTTTTGCTGTTGGGAAAAAGAAAAGCAATAGAAAGTACTTGTAGGCTAATGCCATTTTTTTGCCATTTTTTTGGATTGCCAAAGGGAAATTTCTCTTTTTGAAAAAATTTGTGTTGTATTGTAGAATAAAGAAACCGTTCAAGTTGTTTGTTGTTTTAGATTTTAAAAAGGAGGAATCAATCACAATCAGTTTGGCTGATCACAACCTTTTTGGGTTGATTATATCCAGTTATAATATCCATTATGACCTATTGACAAGCTATGTGCCCACCGGCAACTATAGTTGCCAGCCCTAAAAATGCTATTTTCTTCAAATAAATACATTTCCTGATTCTAGGGCACACAACTAATTATATTAAATGCATTAACACTCTGAAAAAAATTTGGGCACAAATGTGGAGATGTGTCTTTCCCTAAACAACGTGATCCGTACTGAGATGGCACGTTTGCGAATACACGATCATGTGACCACGGGCCGTTTTCACACCCCTGTGGCGACGATACAGGCCATTTGGCCCAGTTCGCTTGTATAAACCTATGTAACCTTGCCCTTATTAGATTCACAAACCCACCATATAATTCAACAACATCATGAATTTGTCAGCCTTCGCAGCCGTCTTGGTTTTTAATGGGAATGCCTCTACCCACTTTCAAAAATAATCCGTGGCTGTAAATATGTACTGATAGCCATCAGTAGTTTTGGGGAAGGGCCCAGTCAGGTCAAGGCAAGGCAAGGCAAGTTTATTTATATAGCACAATTCATACAAAAGGCAACTCAAAGTGCTGAACAAAATAAGAAAGCTAAATAAATAATCACAGAACATTAAAAAGAAAGATAAAAATATAAAATCCCTCAGTTGTATGCACAGCTAAACAGAACTTTAAACATTGTCAGCAAGGAGGCCTGTGTAGCATATGAGTTACGTTATGCCAGTGATAGTACAGAATAGGAAAGAATGGGTTCGTTGGACTAGATCAGAAGACTAGATACGGCTCTCTGGGAGGTGTGAGGCAAGTAATATTACACTCAAGAGACAGACTGGTTACCGGCGGGTGCCATGTACTTACAGTGAAAAACAAACAACATTTAGTGCAAATATATATACAGTTCTGCAGATCAACAGTTCAACAACACAACAATACAGCAGCAGTACTTTTAAAAATGTCCAGAATGGTTCCCAACCATGGGTCACAGGTTGTGACAGAATCACACACACACACAAAACCGGGTACTGGGG